TTTCTCAAGCCACGCATCGGCCAGATTTTGCTAGTTTCCCTCAAATTGTGTGCCTTCGTTTCGATGGGCATCCTTCTTATACATTTTCATAAAAAATGCAAGTCTCCACAACAATTCCTTGAAATGTCCACATCCAAATTACCTCCACCAAAATTGGTCAAGTCGTGCCACCATCTGACATTTGAAGCTTGACTCCTTCCCTCAACCATTTCCCCTTTTTGCTTTGTGATACATTTCTTCACTTCTACTCTCGCCTCGATCTTTCCGGCTTTACTGGCCACTGCTATTTCATCCCAAATTCAACAGACGAGACCAAATCTCTTATGAAGTACGTTCTTCTTGAATCCACCCAACTTTGTACCCAATTGGTGCCCTCCTCGTAAGTTAATCGTGGTTTGTGAAAACCTTCTAAGACCACTATTTAACAAAGTGATTCCCTCGGACACTGTTCTTCGGGCCAATCTGCAGACACAATTGCAATTCATACAACCCCTTTTCAGCTTCCAGTTGGCTAGACTACCAAATACCTTCCATTCTGCCCTGCCAACTAAAGTGAAGGCACAACATCACCGCTGCTCTACCGCTGTACGGGGGTGGTGCTGCATGGGGAGACATTTTTACGTGCGAAAAGAAAAGAAATTAAAAAAATGATCCAAGGTATGCGAGCCAAATTGGTGTGCTCTCCTTTCGTTGTATCAACGTTATCTGCTCTTGTTTTCGCAACTTGCTAACATTGGCAAGAAGACCCAGAGGAAGGCCTCTTGTCCGAGTCCATAGTGGGCATGACAACTTGCAGAGTTGGACCGTGGACTTGGTACATTCCCTGGCATCCAAATTAATTTTCCAAATATCTACTTCTCGTTCTAAGATCGAATGCAGGGCAACAAGTGCTTTCTTGCCTGAGTTGTTGATACGTTAAAACTTGCCAACAATTCCGTGCCGTCCCTTTCCATTGAAGGTTTTTGATTTTTTGCGGAAATTGTATGAATTATTCACGATGTGGTTTAACGTCGTGATCACCATTCATTTAAAAAATATCACCAGTTTATATGTTTTCCTCGACTGGGTTTGCCTTTTTCGTGTATCTCATTCGTGAATTCATCAGCCATTTGGCGACTTCTCCGTCCGAAGTCCTACCTGAAAGCATGTTCGTTAGTGTTCTCTTGCTCTTCATTGTTGGGTCCTTCCTTGTTACGCGATATTCGGTTCCGTCTGCTAGTTTGCTTTTCATCTTCTCAGCACAATCTCATATTCACTATCATTACCACACCTCTCTTTCCGCCTAAGGGACTATTTGGTCAATTATTTGTAGAAAAGGAGTTGGTCGATTAAGGCGATAAAGGATGTGATTTTTAGATTGTCCCCCAAACTGCAGTTTCGACCTCGCCTGAGTCTCAACACTATCTACAACGGGACTCGAGCCCTATTTGTCGTGGTGCAGCGTATACGCTCGAGAGACTGGCAGGGTCAGAACTCCGCTGGGGGTGCGTATGAGACTCAGGCCGGGTAGAAAAGGAAGTAGATTCCAGTCAGGATGAGAATAGGTTTTGGGAAGCAAGGCAATGTGAGATTGAATCGAAGCATGGGGCCTACTGGGATCAACTATTAGTGCTTCAACACCTGATGCGAGCTTATTCAAGATTTATTGTAGCTTTCTAAAACTAGCTGTGTGTCAAAATTCCTTTGAAGAGTTTCTATTTTTTGGGTATCTTCGTTAATCTGCTCCTGTTGTTATGCTCTTGATGTGTCAAAACTTTCTAAATTATATCCACTTTAATATATATATATATATTATATTATATTAGTATATATATATATATATATGTATCTATAATATAATATTAGTATATTATATTTTATATTATTTATTTATATAAGACATTTAGGGGTAAGCCAATGATACTTATAGTAACTGGGTTTGATCAAATCTTCTAAGATAACATTTTTGGGAAGGCTTTCATTTCGTGTGAAAGTGCATGAAGAAGAGATTTGTTGGTCGATGGCTGAATTCCGCTGTATTGCAACCTTCAGTTTGACGGAGTCCACAAGACATCCACCGTCGTTTGGGTTGAAAATTGGCTGATTTTTTGACCATCATCTGATGGACATCTGCAGAGCTGGAACTCATTATTGTAAAAGTCTCACGGTAATTGAGTGTATATAAGAGCCGGATATTTTTAGTGACCTAGTGTTAGTGTGATATATTTACAAGAATGTGTTATAGCTCGGATGATGCCCACCATATGATGCATGTGAGCTCTACCTGTTTTCACACGGAGTGAGGGAGGAGGTCGCGTGGATTGTGTCAACCTGAAGGTGGTATTAGAGGCAAACGGCTGTAATGCAACGGGATTCGACCTTAGTCTTTTGGGGAATCAGCCCACGAATCTCTTCTTCATGCATTTTCATACGAAATGAAGGTCTCTACAGCAATGAGCCAGTGAGATATCTTAACTCATTTACTTAAATGTGTCTATAAGAATGATATTAAGTCGGTTTTTGGGACTACCAGTAAATCAGTAGTATGAGATGTATTCAGACAATTTCGTTTAAGGTGAGCAATTAAATGTTTCCACAATGACGTGAGTAGAGCTGACGTTTCTATTGAAGTTCACATGGCCATGCTTTCCCAAAAGCTGTTCTCATCCAAGCTCAAATAGACTTCAGTTTCGACCTCGTCTAGGTCTTATAAAGACCCCATCCGGGACTCGAACCATGACACTGGAGCATAAAATCTCGACACGTCACCTACTAAGCCACATTGCATGACAGGACAGAAGTGAATTTCAAGGAAGGCCGATTGCTGTAGCAAAGATAAGTTTGCTTCATCGACAATCCTAACACAAAATGTGACATGGAAAAATGCCCGATTTTCCTTGAAAGTTTGATATATGTCCCGTGACCTCAACGGCATTCGTGGCAATTTGACGTTGTGTTCCACTTGTCGAGATTGCACGCTGCAGTGTCATGGTTCGACTCCCGCTGGGGTTGTTGAGAAGACCTTGGCGCAATCGAAACTACAGTCCACTTCTGTCTGGATGAAGGTACGTTTTGGGAAAACAAGGCTATGTGATATTGAATGGAAACGTCAGCTCTACTCGTATTAATGTGGGGAAATAGGGTGAACACAAATCATATAAAAGAGTGATATCTTGCTGTGATGTTGTCAGTCATACGACGGACGAAAGCCTAGCCCATTTGAACCGGACTCAAAGTGGTCTGCCTCGAGAACCGCGTCAACAAGGTTGTTTCCGTAACGACAAACGAGAGCAAATCATAAGGAAGCTGCCATCTCCGCCAACCTCGTCTTCAGACAGACTTTTGCTCGCAGCCAAAGTGAGCTCAACTGGCGACGTGTGAAAGAGTGACGCAACCGGTACCAACTCACCCGGCGGCTTGTTGACGCTGCCAGGAATCCGCAACTGACTGGCCTGCACCACCTCGACCTCGAGGCGCCCCGTTATTGCATTGTACGCCATGGCCAGTAGCAACTCGGGCCAGTTAGTCCGACCGGTCGTAGCCACGGCCTGAGCTCGCCCCAGCGACGAGCTCTGTCCCGCAGCACCAACACGTCCGTCAGCACCGACTCCAAACGAGTCTTCGTGGTAGCTGTCGTCGTAGTCTATGCCCATGTCGGATTCAGTCAGTTTGGACTTCTACAAAAATGCAATAAACAGACTTTTCAACTTATTTTCCCTGTACATGTAGGTTCTCGAAGCTACCATTAGTGTTTGTTTATAAAAGCTGTATGCACACTGTTTTGTGTTATGTGATGCATGACTCGCAAACCTACCTGGAAAAACAGAAAATAAATAATGAATTCGATTGTAACTTAAATAAAATAGGATGAACATAGCTCACTTATCACAGTTAATGGTAGTCTCGCAAGCCTAATAGAAACGAAATATAGGTAATGTCATCGATTGCAATAGAAAATATAAATTAATTCCATCGACAATCCCACCACCGAATGTGATATGGGACAATGCCTGGCCTTGCTCAAAATTCATATCTGCCCTGTGACCCAAGAGCACTTGTGGCAAGGTGGTGCAATCACTAACTTGTCGAGATTACACGCTTCAGCGTCATGGTTCGAGTCCCGCTGGTGGTATTACTAAAACCGAGACGAAGTTGAGACTGCGGTCCACCTCATTAAGAATGCGAATGCCTTTTAGGAAAGCAAGGCTATGTGAAATTCATCGGTTTGTTCATATGATTGTTGGGCAATTCAACAACTTGTTCTTCATCACATCAAACGAAACAAGTTGAGCTTCAGCATCTTCAGCAATCCCGCCACCGAAATGTGGCATGAGAAAAGCACGGGATTCTTTTGACGTTCATTTTCGCCCCGTCACGCATGGATGCTCGTGGAAGTGGGGGTAGTGGTTGACATGTCGAGTGGGGCTTCGAGACCACCGGCAGATTTTGTACACGAGCACCTATTTCGTTAAAGGTGGTAAGGTAGAGCTAGTCGGAATTCCCCAAAATGAGTAGCGTAGGCCTCATGTTCACCTTAAAATTCACACAGCCTTGCTTCCCAAAA